TTTACTCTAAAGCTGTGAAGTATGTTGATGGTATTTTGATAGGGATGGCATAAAATTTGTATAGCAATTTTGTGACTATGTCTATTTTCACAATGTTGGTTCTTTCTATCTAGTAGCAATTAATAGCTTTCCATTTTCTGAAATCCTTTCAAGCTTTTTTCAGAGTGTTTTAATTTTCATTGTAGAGACTTTTACTTCCTTTGGTAAGTTAATTCCTAAGTTCCTAAGTTTTTTTTTTAACTTGTTTTTGCTCTTGTGAAAGTTACCATTTCTCTAATTTCTCTCTTAGTGAGAAATTACATATCCAATTAGTTCATTTCTGGGTGTTGACTTTGTATCCTTCTATACTAATGAATTTGTTTATTAATTCTAGGAGCTTCTTGTTGGAGTTTTTTCAGTCTACCATGTAGGGGATTGTGTCATCTGTGAATATTGTTAGTTCAAATTCTTCCTTACCTATTCTAATTCCTTTTATTTCTATCTCTTATCTAATGGCTCTAGATAATGTTTCCAGAACTTGAATAGGAGTGATTATAGTTGACATCCTTGTCTTGCACCTAATTTTAGGTAAAAGCTTTCAGTTATTCTAATTTTAGAATTATGGTGGCAGTTGATTTCTCATAGATGGCTTTAATCAGATTAAGGTAGAGGGCATCTATTTCAGTTTTCTGTAGGGCTCTGGCATTAAATGAGTGTTGGATTTTGTCAAAATCCTTTTCTGCAACTAATGATATCATCATGTGGTTTTTGCTCTATTGAAATAGTGTATTACAATTATAGGTTTTTGTACACTGAATCATCCTTGCATCCCTGGATGAATCATATCTGGTTGTGGTGTATAACATCCTTGATGATTTACTGTACTCTATTTACTAGTATATCATTGAGGATTTTTGCATCGATGTTCATAAAACATATTGGTCTGCAATTTTCTTTTTTGTTGAATTTTTCTGTGGTATTTGTATCAGTATAATATTTGCCTCCAGGACTGATATTGTGAGTATTGCTTTCTTTTACATTTCATTGAAGATTTTGAGGCTTATTGGTATTAAATTGGCTGGGCTTTCATTAGGTAGTTTTTTATTACATTTTCAATTTCATTGGCTGGTCTTGAGTTATTGAAAGTTTTTATATCTTCTTGATTGAGTTTTGGTAATTTGTACCTCTCTAGGAATCTGTCTATGTCTTCTATGTATGTGCTCAGGAGAATAAAGATTTTCAATATAGCTATTATGAGCCTCTGAATTTCCACAAGATCTGGAGTAATTTTTCCTTTTTCATTCCTTATTGTTTGAATTTGAATTTTTTTCTTTCCTCTTTTTGATGAGGTTGGCTAGGGGTTTATCAATTTTATTTAATCTTTCAAAGAACCAGCTCTTTGTTGATTAATTCTTTGTACTGTTTTCTTTTCTCAATGACATTAATTTCTGCTGTAGTCTATATAATTTCTTGATCTTTGGGTTTTGGGATTGACTTGCTCTTCTTTTTCTAAAAGCTTGAAGTGAACATTAGGGTATTTATATGTTCTCATTCTGTTTTCCTAATGTGTGGTTCACTGCTATAAATTACCCTCTGAGAACTGCCTTCTTTGCATCCCTCAAATTCTGGTTAGTTGTGATTGAATTTTCATTGTAGATATTTTTTAATTTCTTCTTAAGCCCATTGTTTGCTGAGGAGGTTGTTATTTACCTTCTATATATATATAGAAGGTAAATAACAACCTCCTCAGCAAACAATGGGTTTAAGAAGAAATTAATATATATATATGGGTTGCTTGTTTCTTTTGCTATTAATTTTCAGTTTCACTGCACGGTGCTCAGATAATAATATGACCTGTGGACTAGCATGTGGTCTACTTTAGAGAACATCTCATGTGCAGATGAAAAGAATGTGCATTGAGATGTCCACTAAGTTCAGTTTTTCAAAGGTTTTGGCTCAGTTTTGCTATATCTTTGCTAATTTTTTGTCACTTGACATACTTTTTTGAGATAAGGGGTTTTAAGGTCTCCTGTTAAGATTGTGATATTGGTTGTTAGATTTTTCATGTCACTAAAATTTGTCTTGTATAGTTAAGTACTCCAATATTATGGGCATACATATTTTTTACTGATATCACTTTCTCTTGAAGTTTTCCCCTAACCAGAATGTAGTGACCTTCTTCCTTTCATTTGATCATTCTTGGTTTGAAGCTCAGATTGCCTGTGAAGAGAATAGGTATGCATGCTTTATTCTTAGTTCCTGGGTCAGGTAATATTGTGCTCCATCCTTTAACTTTCAGACTACTTATCTCTTTATGGATTAAATGTGTTTCTTGTATACTGTATATTGTTGGATTTTATTTCTTCATCCACTCTGCCAACCTATTTCTTTTGGTGAATGGAGTCCATTTATGTTGGTGATTATAATTAATATGTGTTGGTTTATGTTTGTCATGTTATTTTCCAGCTGTTGGTTATCTACTGTTCTCCTGTATTTCTTTGCACTGATTATTGGGTTCTTTATGTTGTCAGTCTTAGAATTTTGTTCATCTTGATCCCTTTCTTTTTTTTTTTTTCAGAACCAGGGATTAGAACTCAGGCCCTTGCGCTTGCCAGGGAAGCACTTATTCCACTGAGCCATCTCCCCAGCCCCTTGATCCCTTTCTAGAATGTGTCTTAGTACCCTGAATAGGATTAGTTTGGTCATCATGGATTCTTTAGCTGTTCTTTGTAATGGAAGTATTTTATTTCTCCATTAAACTTAAAAGAGAGTTTCGCAGGGTGTACCAGTTTGGGTTGAATTATGTTTTCTTGTAGGACTTGAAATACCTTGCTCCATGCTATGTTTGACATGATAGTTTGTTGAGAAATCTCATTATTCTGATGGGTTTTCCTTTAAATGTGGTCAGTTTCTTTTTACTATCAGCTTTTAGTATTCTGTTCTTCACTGAATTTCTGGGATCATGATCATTATATGTCTGGGTGTAGATTTAATTGGCTTGATATTATTTGGAATTATACATGCTTCAGGTATCAGAATGTTAGAGCAATGCAAGACGTATGCACAACACGGATCTACATGCAGTGCACCTGCAGGATGACATGTGCACCCGCAGAGCTGATGTGCACTCAGGTGCAAAGTGGGGCATGTAGTAAGGACATATGGCTGACATGATGTGCCCTGGCTCACCTATCATTTCTACAACAGTTATTTGTAGGAAAGGATGGATCCAGGCTGTCATTTCTAATTTGAGCGGAGTTCTTCTCATTGTGAAAGAATCCTTGGTCCTTCTTGTCACTGAGAATGGCTGAGGTTGTTTGAATTTCACAGACTGATGAATTAAAACTAAAATACTTTCATTTGTGGGAGCTCTAATGTTAACTGTGAGCATTGCTTCTTGCCTCCAGAGGTAGACAATGCACAGTCTCCTCTGCTAGAGGAGATTAGAGAGCAGACATTCTTCTACTTATTCAGCTGCTCTTAGTATCTAAGGAGCTTGGGACCTGGCTTTAATGACATAGGCTGTGATGCCATTTGCCAGGCCTGTGGTTCTTACTTTGAGTGTCACGTCCTATCTCCAGTGCAGATATCACACCCTGATAACCCAAATCATTCATCCTGATGGAACATAATTTCTAGATTCCACAAAGGACCTTAGGCCTTTCCAGTGCAAATCCATGAATCAAACTTGTGTGAGACATCATCATGGCATCAGGGACAGGGTTGGACTGGTAGGTGCCATTGACATGCAATTCAGGCCTACAGTTTGGTTCTTTTGGACCTTAGTGTGTTATCTTGGTTACTTTTCTCCTTCTGCTGGGACCAAATACCCACCCCTCAGGATAAAGGAAGGAAAGGTTTAGTTAGTTCACAGTTTGAGAAGGTTTCTGTCCACACTGAGCTGGTTGTAAGGCAGACTGGCATATGCCAGAGGGAAGCAGTTCATGGTGGCAGAAAATAGCAAAACAACAAGAGTAAAAGGAAGGAGCACCAGCAACAATTGCTGAATAAAGCATGTCTCTATCCCTGATGTTACACTCAGGCTATCTGCCCCATTCATATGCATAATCACAGCAGTACTCACAAACATAATCCCAGCACTGGATCAGCAATTAATCACAAACTCCAGAAGTCTTCCCCATAACTTCATGAGACCTTACGGGGACAAGTAGACACAAACCAGAACATGTATAGACACATTTTCTGCATTCCTTTGTATTTAGCACCTTGGGTTCCTATTATACAACAATGCTATACGTTATACGTCCTGTATTCCATTGTTTTTCTTTTGGACACTGCTACAACACCTTTCAATAATATCTTTCTTCTATCCCTTCAAATTGATTGAATGTACTCCTGTTTTCTGTATCTCCCAGAAGAATTATAACATTATATGCCAGCAATATGTAAAAAGCCATGTACACAGCGACAGTCTCTGAAAGCTTACTCTTGAAGCAAACCAAATGCCCCCTAACCAATGAATGCTTAAAAAAGTTTTATGTTTCTTATTTTCAAAATAATGGAGAATGACTCAGCCATAGAGTAAATTAAAATTGAGATATTTATTTGTAAGTCACCTGGGGCTCATACAACCAGTGAAAGAAATCAGAGACACATGTATAGAAAACATATTATCTAATGTGACATGCTTAAGAGATAAAGACATCCATAAATGTACAATGGACAAAATGGAAAAGAAAGAAATGATTCAAAGGAAAATAGTGAGGGGAGCGTGAATAGGAAGGAAGCAAAGAAGAAAGAAAAAAAGGAAGGAAGAAAGGAAGGAAGGGAGGGAGGGAGGGAGGGAGGAAGGAAGGAAGGAAGGAAGGAAGGAAGGAAGGAAGGAAGGAAGGAAGGAGGGAAGACAATGGAAAAAATATCAGAAGATGGGTAAAATGAAAACCAACCTGTGTAACCAAGAAGGGAAAAGGGCTAGAAAATAAGTGACAGGAATGTGATTTAAAAAGAGAGGAATCAACATGTATCAAGTACAGGGACACAATGTACAAATAACATTCAATTTTGCAAAAATGAATTGAGCTTACACCATAATTGGAGCACAGTTCCCTCCTAAAAGCAGCTGCTTACACCACGGGTGCCCTGGAGCAGCCTGGCGCACTCGCTGAACACTCCCCGGATGTTCTCGCTGTCCATAGCACAGGTGAACTGAGGGTAGCAGTGGCGGTCCTCACCGCCTACAGCATTGACGATGTTCAGAAACTTGTCACGGATGAAGTACTTGGCCCGGGTGGCGCGGGGGTCCTCTCCGGGCTCAGGAGCAGCAGCCTCAGGAGTAGTGTAGTGAGCAAATTCTGGAAAGTGCTCCTCGATCTTGGACTTCCCAGCAAGGAATTTCTCAGCCAGCAGATCCTGCTTGTTGAGGAAGAGAAGCACACAGAAGGGGTGGGGACATCTG